TTCTACCAACCCCAGATGATAGGTGAGGGTGATTGTGGAGTAAGTGGTGGAATGAAGATTGGCAGGGGAAACCGAAGTACTCGGAGAAACCCTGCCCCAGCGCCACTTTGTCCACCACAAGTCCCACTTGAACAGACCCGGGATCGAACCAGGGCCGCCGCAGTGGGAAGCCAACGACTAACCGCTTGAGCTATGGCGCGGCCCAGCTCCATAAGTAAGTAAGTATGTAGTACAATATTTTCTATTTGCATATTCTGAACATCAAAGCCAGGGAGGAGGTTAAAGCAAAGAAAAAAAAAGAGAGGAAAATATGTTAACTCCAAACTGGAGCATCCTACTTGCTCCACAATGTGTTATTAAGATGTGAGTTTATTACATAATATTTTAATTGCATTCCATTCATTTGTAAATAGTCATCAGACCTGAGAAAGCGTAAGTCTAATTTTTCTTTCGTGTAACGATACAAGTGAAGACCGTATTTGTCATCCATACATAATGTATGCCATCTGCCATCAAGTTCAGATCCTCTGTCGCGTGCACCCAGCCGTTTATTCTTTCGATAAAATGGGCTATTTTTCCTAGGATGAAGCCTGAAGCCCACAACTCAATGCTGTCTACTGGAGAGGTTAAAATGCGTGGAACTTCACCTCCACTCCTCTATATGACTTCAAGGAGTTGTGCTTAGACTAGGGACCGCTAGGGACATGTTTGAGGCGTGGGTCCACACAGCCCTTAGTCATTCCGTTTAGTGCAGCAGTTTATCGTTTACTTCACAAAATGAAGTTGATTGTAATGGGAATTTTTATTATCTAGTGGCATAGCTCTGTGAGAGCACTTCATGTCATTCAGGTTGCAAGAGTACATGAAGTTTTAAGAGATTTTGCATGTTTCACAAGGCGTGAGTGGTTTTCTATTTCGACACAAAGACACCCAAGCTGCTTCTCTTAGACACAACAGCTAGGCCTATTTGTTGTTTTCAAGTGTACTTCAATTCCCTTTTAAACACTTAAGAACCTCAGTTTCTTTTAACCTAAAAAGCCTCGTTCAATTGACCCTGTCCGGCTATATTCTTTCAGAGTGTTGGACTACACACAAACCTCATAAACTCGGCAATCACAAACAGAACTGTTGGTTTGAAGCAAGAATTTCCATTCCTTCTAGACTTTGGTATCGGAGTGTTCAGGCTAACGTTTCCGTTTCTGTACCCCCCCNGAGGTTTCAGGGCAACCTTTCCCTTTCCTTCCCCCCCCCCCCCATTCTAAGGAAAGAACCACGGATCTACCGGATAGAAAACTGGAAAGCGAAGAAAATAATCTCCGGTGCTGCAGGAAATAGAAACATGGCTGCCCACCCCTCAGTAAACAGCTGAAGGGGAGATCCCGACTAATAATAATAAAACTAAAAAGAAAGAGCAGGTTAGAGTGTCGAAATGCTTAATGCTTGTATTCGGGAGGTGCTCGTTTAGAATTTCGGCCAGAAAACCGCCTTTCCCCATAATATTTCTTGGTTTTCCTCCGTCCCTCCAGGAAAGCATCTAGATTACTCGAAAATTCTACTTTTCGAGATCCTTCCTAATTCATCATTAACCAGACATTCTAAACTTCGACTCCATATAATCTGTGATTCTGGCGGTGTCGTGAAGTAAACCACAAGAAAGAACATGGAGCTAGACACAAGAAACGCTCACCACAATCCAATGGACTGATATATATCATCATACAACATACACAGTACCATGGCTAATATATAAAAATTTTAGTCTGTGTCCAAAGCAAAAACATAATTGAGAACGGAGCAATATGGTTTATGGCAAACACGACATTATTGAACATTATTGGCTTTTTGGACATTATCCTTTATCGTGTGTTTTTATATAAGAACGTTTCGGAAACGTTTTAATGAATAAACAGGACAATGGATAATGTTCAAAAAGCCATTGATTTACATTAATATACCATGTCTGTGTGCTTTTGTTCTGTGTGTAGGTAGCGGCCTCGCGACGGGCTGATCACTCGTCCAAGGAGTCATACCGACCGTGTATAGATTAAGAAACTGAAAAAAAAAAAAAAAGCAGTCAAGGTCCACAAAGGCCCGTAGAGCCATAGATAGATTTTTTATTATTGCTAGTGGGGTGGGACTAAGTCCCTTGTACTGCGGCCACTTCTGGCCTATTGCACCAGCCCCAGATGATAGGTGAGGGTGATTGTGGAGCAATTGGTGGAATGAAGATTGGTAGGGGAAACCTAAGTACTCGGAGAAAACCTTCCCCAGCGCCACTTTGTCCACCACAAATCCCACTTGACCAGACCCGGGATCGAACCCGGGCCGCCGCGGAGGGAAGCCAGCGACTAACCGCTTGAGCTATGGTGCGGCGCTCCAAGGAGTCTTACCGACCATGTATACCTGTAGATAAAAAAAAAAAAAAAAAGCAAAGCAGTCAAGGTCCACCACAAAGGGCCGTAGAGCCATAGATAGATAGACAGCTGTTGCAGGAAAGAGATCCTATTCATGACTTGTTCACTGAGCACTGAATGTCTGTCACTGTCTGTTCACATACCTAACGACACCGACAGGGAACATGCTGTCAGCGGGTAGACAAGTACGAGTGTTCTCGAACGTTTTTAAGAGTATGTTCACATTAAACGCCTCCAGCTCGGACCACCATGAATTGGCACCAGCCGGCAAACTTGGGGGAAATGTTTTGACGTGTTGACTATTTCCTGTGGTTGTCAGCGTCGGCATCACGCAGGTTGTCGGTATAGACGAGATAAGATGGACGATAAAAAATATGTTTTTACTTTGAAACCACTAAACATTACACAACCTAGCCATAGAAGCTATAGCGACAACAACAAGAAGGAAAAGTAGAGAACAAGTGGGTTTACTTTTTTATTGCCTTTGCATTTCCGTTTCGTAATGTTAACTTTTGATATTCTCCTATATATAGCATATGCGGGAAAGTTAGGCCAATGTCCAATGAAAGAAACTTGATGGAAATCAGTCCAACTACTCTCGAGTTACGAGACAACAAAACATATAATTCCCTTTTGTTTGATTACCTCGAAAGATCGCAAGACTTAAGGAAAAAATTTACCTAACGTAAAATGCGTGTTTCACTTTTGTTTGTAAGGTTTATTGGAAATATTTTTCGCTCCATTAAGCATACAGTGAGTTTCGTTGAAGATGTAAGCAGGAAGGCAAATCTTCATGTAAAATGTCCGTTATTTTTGTCGGACTTTAACCAAAACTGGAACGTGTCGATAAATAAAACTGCCCTACATAGAATTAAGCTTGCATGAAATTTTGTTCAGCTGTTCTAGAGGTGTTACAGGCGGACAGACAGTAAGACCGATATGTCGAGGTTAATAGGGGTATTATTGTCAGAAAACTGAAATAATCGGACTAAAATTAATATAAACTGATTTTGTAGAACTCATTTCTGTTTTGCAGTTGCGCCTCTACATGTACATGTAATATTATATTATGCCACATTACTACATTATGTGAAAAATCTTATTATAATTTTACGAACTGCTAAAATCCACACATGCTCGTAGAATAAGTGCCGGGATAGCGCAGTCGGTATAGTGACTGGCTACAGGATGGACCACCGAGAGGTTGAAGTTCCAGTCCCGGTAGAGTCGAGAATTTTCTTTTCTCCACGTTGTCCAGACCGGCTCTGGGGTCCACCCAACCCCCTATCTAGTGAGTAGTGGGGATCTTTTCCCGGGTGTAAAGCGGGACTACAGGTAATACAGAGCTATCACTGATCTACACATTTTACAGTTCACCGTTACACACGCACTAGGATTCTCAGTCTTCTCTAGTCGTATTCTGGCAACGGATTTATTACAGTCTCACTGTAACTTCAAATCAAGCATGAAGTCTTCTTTTGCACCACCTAATTCCTTTCTTACCATTTCTTCTAAATTACCTTAGACTGCCACCTTCAGACTCGACATATTTCTTGACAATCCCTTCAATCAAGTCAAAGTCACATTGCGACTGACTGTCAGTCAGTAAGTCTTGGTGTCAAGCCCCACTTGTGGCCTACGACCAGATATTTATTACTGTTTGACAGTTACGGTCTTGATTTTGTGGGGCGCCTTCTCTGACGAGAGGACGGGTTTGTCTTTTGTATATGCTGCTGGCCCTTGCGAGCGCAGCCTTTCTCCGGTCCGAGTCCCTTGGGACTCGCGACCATATTTTACTGTCTCAGATTTGAGACTTCTCTCTTTATCGCCTCCTACCACTCGCAGGGGCACAGTGGAGGTATTCGACCCTGCCTCCACCGGGTTTCACTCAATCGACCTTCTTTGTCACGTTACAGACCCTCGGCACAAACCACGCATAAAACACGGTCTCTCAATTTTTGAGAACGCTTGTTTACTGATCCGTTGCCTAGCAACGGACGTCCTATTGTACGCGTACGCTTCCGTTGGAATGTGTTTACCAAGTTGTTGCCTAGCAATGGGTCTGTACGTCACAGTATATTATTTGGCTGCATGAAGCTTTCTGTCTAGTCAGAATATATTGAATCCACTCCAACCAAAAATATTAACTGATACTTCGTTATCCACTGCTTTTTTGTACAGAATAAAGTACTTCCGTTTCCTTTCAAGCAAAGAAATTGTTAATCCAGCACTCCTAAGTTTCCTTTGTTGTTTCGTGGTGTCACCTTTTGATAACAATGCTGTAATAGCTAAATCATTACAATAATATTGCTTAATCGTCATAGTTAGCAATGGATTGGCAAAGAGGCTTGTAGAATTCATCTGATTATTACGGTTCGGGGTTATCCGAATTGAACAGATTTTTTGTGTGTGTTTTCTTATCAGTTGAATTTTAAAGGCTAATCTTTGGAAAGCCAGAGAGGAAGTATGAGTGTCTTAAGATTCAACAGTTCTGATTGGCGTAGGTATCTCAGCAATACAGCGATTGGCCCATCTCCCTCTATCAAAGAGTTCTTGAGCAAGAACAGTTACGGTACTGCATACGTCACGCACTGTGCAACTGGCTGTCAAGTCACTCGGTGCACGAGCTCAAAGACCTGGCTCAAGAGCTGCACGGTTGCTCTCCACGTAATAAACAAGCTGTTTGTTTTCTTCACATAGCTTAGGCCTACAAACGTAGCAAAGAAATTGCTGAAATTCAGTTTATTGCCTGTATTCAGTATTGAATCAAAGGTGACGTGTCAAAAAATCGTTCATGCAAAGCATTTGGTGTCTTATTCCTCGTATTTTCCGTGACAGTTGTGCAAGAACAAAGAGTTCCAAATCTGTGTATGTCGAATTTCGAACTTCCTTGAAGCCGCTTAATTTGTTTTCTGAAGAAAATAGTTCCAACGTCATAAAGGAGAAATGGCATCCAAACTTCGTCGCCCGCCCCTTTTCAGCTACAGTGATGGCAGCGTTTGTTTGAGTTCTTACCCTCAGTACACTGCCTGCAAGGTAAGTGAACTTCTCCATAATATTTGGGCTGTGCTCGGTTCTCTGGCCTGTTGCCATTCAGAATTAATCCGAAGCAATGAATCTTACAGGCAAGTTGTAAGACTCCTTGGACGGGGATCAGCCCCTGTAAGGCTGCTACCTACAAAGAACATACACAGAAAACCCCTATATATGTATGCCCCGATTGGGAGTCGAACCCACGACCCCAGTGTTCAAGCTGGCGAAGACATTTCTTGCCTCTGTCATCGGCTGGCAGAACCTTTATGGCGCATTCTATGTGTGTGTGTGTGTGTGGGGGGGGGGATATGAGGCAATAAAGGAGAGTAGTTTTGGTCAAAATTAAGCGAAAAATTAATCCGTTAGCCCTTCATTTAGAGTAAATGCGTAATTTCTGATTTATCTAACGACTCCATCAGTGACTCGGACAATATGGCGCCGAATGGTCGAATGATGGATTGATAGGGTGTAGAAGGAAGCAGTCGCGGTCCGCTACATTCGCCTCGATGGGCTGACAGTGTTTAGAATATTCTGTCCGACTGAACTACCGACAATAACGCGTGTCCTTTAGTGTCCCCGTAAAGCATGTTCAGTAACTGCAAATAATTCACAGCTGTTTAATGCTTTTTGGAAGAAGGAATATTTCTGCGAGGCCACCCAGTCCGTACCCGCTTTTGTATACGGTCTCTTCAGCAAATATAATTTGCTACTCCTGCATAAGACTTTACGATTCTATAACTAATTAACTATAGAAAATAGGTTTTCACCTGTTCTCTAATAAGGCTGCTTATTTAATCGAAGTTTCACTTTCCGATAAAAAAGTACGTTTATTGTCACATTTCTTCTGTCATGAGTTGAACATAATGAAGTTTGTCTACATGGAAGCTGGTAGTTTTAATGTTCTAATCAGAATGACCATGTTTCTGAACATTTGGACAAGGCCCTCTGAAAATAAGATAAAATTTGTATCATTCTTGTAAAAGTATTTAACTATGGTCAGTCACTACGAAGGTGTTGCAGAAGATAGTGCTGAAGGCGTTGTATAGGCCTAAGAGAAATGAAGTAACAAAGGACTGGAGATAAATACACAGTGAAGGGTATCATAATTTACATTCTACAAGGGCAACGAAATGGTCGAGACATGTAGCATTCGTGGGGTGAAAACAAGGAGTGTATAAAATGTCCTGGTCAGACAACCTGAATGCAGGAGACCAATTATGAGATGTAGAGAGGAAGATAATATTAAAATCAATTATAGGCAATAGGCTATTACAGGATGGGTTGGATTCAGCTGGCTCAAGGTTAAGTTCGGTGACAGACCAGTGTGAAAATGGCATTTAGCTTAATTTCCATAAAAAGCTAATGTGCTTCTTGACCAGTTGAGTGACTGTCAACATACAAAGAGAACCTTGCAGCCATTGGCGTTTTCAAAATTTGTCGCTTCATCTGATGTTAGGGTAATAAAATCAAGGGGGGATGATGAGGATGGAACACGTAGAACGCGTGGAGGAAGTAATAATTGCGTTCAATACTTTGATCAGAAAAACTCGGGCAAATATTTTTGTTGACACACAAGCTGTTTGAGAAATATGAGTCGGAAATGCGGTATTTTCCGACTGCTCAAAAAGACTTCGGTCTTCATAGAGATAGTTAGGCCAATAGAAGGATAACTTTATACTTGACTGGGGAAAATCCTCGTTGAAAAGGCAATAGTCTCTCAGCTGGTCAAAGAAATGCTGCGTCTCTCATGAAAGTTGAAGGCTCATTACTCTGTTCGTAAAAGCATGTCTGGTCTCTATCCTGAGCCAGAAGACTCAGTACAAACACATTTTTAATGTTCACTATCTGATTCTTCGAATTGAGAACTGAATTCTAAAACTGTATATACTTTGAGAGATGTTTGGTACGGTTCCATATACAGGTGGTGTTCAATCCAAAAGTATAAAAATTCAGAAAAATATATGGGCGTACATCCATGCCCTAAGTGGGATTCTAACACACTTTGTAGGCAGTCGAAGACATGACGCGCTTTTGAACGAACAGCCAAATCACTTCTTCAATAAATTATATTTTAATGTTATCTTCCCACGTATTTCTAGGTCTCCTAAGACGATTCTTCAAATTCGTATGCTAAATTTTTGTATGCATTTCTTGTGACTTTTGTACCGATGCTGACATGTTCAGGAAAGAGTATTTGATGATCCAGATGAAATGTGGTACCTAAATTAACATGATTGTAACTTGATTCCTGTCCATTCTTATCTTATTTTAGCACGCTCCACCAACTGCATATCCTATATGCAGTATCCTTATCTGAAGCCAGGAGGTTTGAAACACACAACTTGTAGTCAGAGCACAGTGGAATGTGGGGAGACGACAAAAACAGCCAATCAGACAAGCACTGTCGTGAAGTGTATATTTCGTAGGAGCTAACCTCCGAAGTAGACTATATATACGTCATTTCTCCGGTTCTGCAAATAGAGCACGACCGATTTCTCTGCTCTCTTGACTGACTGACTGGCCATTTATAACTGTACTCCTACCTTTACACGTCTCCGAGATGGAATTNTGTTTGGCTTTAGTACACAAGTACCAAACAGAACAAAAGAGCTTAGAACAGTACTAGACACCTCAACGGCACTATGCTACAAACCGGAAGGTCGCGGGTTTGATTCCCGATGCCATTGGATTTTTCAATTGACCTAATCCTTCCAGCCGCATTATGGGCTTGGGGTCGACTCAGCCTCTAACATAAATGAGAACCAGGAATCTTCCTGGAGGTAAAGGGAGGCCGGTGCGTAAGACTGACAACCTTACAGCCATCTGTGAGTCAATTGTCTAGAAGATGTGGGAGCCTCCACGTCTCACAACCCTATTGCCCTCCACGGCACAGAAAACATAGTTCAATTGTGTCGCAGCGCAGACCACACAGACAACAAGTATCGTGACAACTATCTTGCCAGTCCATTGGCACGCTGACTGTTGCCTAGCAACGAGCTATTAACATTCGTCCTGTTGTTACGTGCGCGTATCGTGGGATGTTTATCAAGCCGTTGCCTGGCAATGGGTGTACATGTCACATTATCTCTACTGGCAGCGTCGTTCAGTAACCTAATATGTATACACAGAGAGTTGGAAGAAAGTACATGTTGTAAGACGTTCTCTCCTGTACCGCTAATGCAATTAATGTTGGCATTGTAAGGATCAACGTGTAACACGGCAGCATTAGATGGACTGCCAATCAAATAGCTTTAGGGTGAATATGAGGTGAAGTAATTATGATCTATGGCACTAAGTTCATGACAAATCACTGGAATTCTTTCGAACTTCGAAGAATTACGAGAGATCCTTCATTTTTGCACCCACGAATGTCATTGTCCTCATTCTGAGTATCGCTAGTTCTGGAAGAAAACAAAAGAATCACTCAGTTTGCTTCGAGCAACTTGAGAATGCTGCCATGGTGATGACGTAAAGGAACCAGTTCTCCCTACCCTTTCCTAGCAATCTCATCTCTAGTGACAGGAAAGTAATCCATCCCACAATCAAAACAAATTTTATTTCTTATTTTCAAACACAAGCTGCCATTACGGCTCATATGAAGAAATGTGTTGTGGCTTATGCCTCTGGGCACGGTTAATGACCATGCAGGCTCTGCTCGCGTGGCTGCGGTAGAGAGACGAGTGCACATTTTAGACGGGAATATCTGTAGATCAGGATTTCTCGTTTGATTCTTCATAAAGACGGTGGCCGGTGTAGGAGGCTTATGGTTTTATGTGGTACTGGAACCACTGAAGATGGGGGGGAAGGGTTGTGTACCACACATTCACAGAATTTTGACTTTGCCAGAGGGTGACTGCACGAATGGACAGCGGTTTGCCTCCTGACCACCTTGTCACCACAGCGCCCTCGTTCCGATAACTGATATGTACAACGCACGTCTCTTATCAACTCCTAACGGAATAGCCTACGTGCCACACTCGGCGGCAAAACGCTGGCATCTCACAGTGGAGGCGTGGGTTCAGTGCCTGATGACTTCATGTGAAAGTGTTTATAGACAAAATAGCATTGCAGCAGGCTTCTGTCAGAGCTTCTTCGATTGTACCGTGCGTATCGTCATTCCATTCTCCTCCTCCTCCTCCTCCTCCTTTACCAAGCAGCCTGTGTTTTCTATGCGGTCTGCACCAAGCCACAGTAGGATAACAGGGTTATGTAAACCAATTCTAAGCAACGGCTGGGTAAACACAATTCGCCGTATGGGATCGTGGTATGAAAACGGTGACTTCATCAATAATAGAGACGGTGTTTTCCGTGGGGTACATGCAGAATGCTTATAAGAGAAGTCAGTGCAGTGACTATTAGTTCAGAGGCAGTTACGAGGCGTGAGTCCAGAAGAATTTTTAGTTCCGAGGTTCCAGAGTGACTGAAGACGAAATAGCAAGACGACTTCATACTGATTTGAAGTGCTAGTTTCTGTGTTGAGATCCGTTGCCAGCAGACGACTAGTGAAGACCGGGAATCCTAGTGTCTGTGCAACGGTGGTCTGTATATTGTGTAAATCAGCGGTAACGTTGTATTTAAGTATGAGAGAACTTGTAATCATAGTGCTAATAAATCCAATCACCCGAACTAGAACCCATTAATTTCGTCACTCGTACCGCACCTACACATGTCAATATACATAGCTTGCTATATCCGTTAATGGATGCTAATATTTGACCTGGTATTTTTGTTAGCAACAAAATACATAAATTTATAAAGCAATCACAAAATATTTACTCCTTTAATCATACGCCCCAGCTGTTTCTGTTTTCATTTTCTGACCCCCCTAATTCTATCTGCAGCTTGTTTATCACTTTCTTTCTTTTCTTGTGTATTGTAAACGAACACAATCATGTAAGATCTGAGGCTTTCACAGCGGTGACTATGAAGCAAGCAGTCTTCTGGGATTTGGCACCGTGAATATGTGGTGTTAACCGACGTTTCGGAGGAACGTGTCGCCTCTA